CTACTACTACTACTACTACTACTACTACTACTACTACTACTACTACTACTACTACTACTACTACTTTTATAATCCTGCTATAGCTGCTGCTGCTACTACTACTACAACATTTATCCCCACCACCACTACTACTACTATACTTCTACTACTACTGCTGCAACTACAGTTACATTACAAGTTTAGTTACACGAAGTCGTCAAAATACCTTTGGAGTTTATGGGGACCGCTTATCACAGTAAGGCACTTGCATCCAGGATTGACCACCGTGTGGACAACCAAGTTTGTTTCGAACGTTGTACCCCCAGTTTTTTGTATGTGCAGCACTACAATTATGTCCGACTTGTTGATGTTCATGTGACTAGGGTTCCACAGAGTCCCCGCATTTTGATACTGCAAAAGAATGAACATATATTGTAGTGTTACAAAGATGAACAGTGTGTAACAAGTAAGGTTGGACATAGGGGATTGCCTTGTTAGTGGGACAACTTCCTGGGCCTTCGGCTTATTGTGGTAGGGTGGTCAGTTCCTTTCCACGCCGTCTTTACTTCCCAAACTCGAAGTCAAGTACCCATTACTGCTGGGTGGGCAGGAGGGGGCGAAATAAAATTCATGTCCGAACCGAGGCTCGAACCCGGACTTTCGCCACCGGATCACCAGTGTGTACAGCAATAATACTGTAATTGAAACTGATTGTGTTTTACGCCCTCGTCAACACGAATTAGATCATTTTAGGAGGTACTTAAGCTGCTTCAACCAAGCCAGTCAGGGTTGACAGAGCCGTAATGTCCCTGTTGATTTGACCCCGCACGGGAATCGAACTTACGTCTTCTTCGACTTATTTGGAAGTTCCTAACTGGTCCACCACAAACGCCAGTAACGGTAATGTGTAATTTTTAATCAGTGGGCATTGTTGAGTTTAAATGATGAGGTCCTCAGCTTAGTCGTTTAGTTTTGATGTGAGAGGGTAATCATTTTGTCTATCATACTGTTCTGTTTAATTGTCGCATGCGCAACATGTACACGTACGCGAGCGTGTGTGCATGTCCGTGTATGTGTATGTTTACGTGTGTTTGTATGTGTGTGAATGTTTGTATATATATATGTCTGAAAGTGTGTGTATATGCGTGTGTATGTTTGTGAAAGTGTCTTTGCATGTGTGTGTGAGTGCATGCCTGTGGTTGTACATGAATGAGTGTGCGTGTGTTTGTGTATGTGTGTATGCGTGCGCGCGTGTGGGGGGGGGGGGTGTGCGCGTGCGCGCACGTGCGTGTGTATTAGTGCAGGACAGAAAGAGGGAGCAGGGGGGAGGATACAGATAGAAAGATAGAGAAACTTAGGAGACATTTAAAAAAAAACTTTCGGCACTTGCTATACAATTAAATCATTTAAAGTTATATTAGTGTCGAAGATTGGAGGTTTTACTAGATAGTAGCATACAAAGGCACCCCTGCAGGTGGGGGCCCTATAGCTTTGCAAAGAATAACACCTACAAAGATACTGCGTGTCGTTAAAGGCGATTAAAAATGCGTAGGTCTGGCCTCCCAAAAATAGCTTGTTTGCAGTGGGCCAACTACCCGACCCTGTAGAAACAGAAAGTTACATAAACACGAACAAACACAGCTATTTATTTTTCGATCCTGGGAGACAGAGTGGCTTCTCTATCAGCGGGACCAATGAAGGACAGTGGACAAAGCCGAAAAGACTCTCTTGACCCGAAACCTTCTCTGAAGTACAGAAAGTGGGCAGACATGGAATTACATCAAGAGGCTAGCCCAGGAAAAGGAAAGGTGGTAAAACAAGTATTTGTTCGTGGCCTTTACCTTGACACTGGGCAAGAAAAGCAATGATGAACATTCAAAGTAAAGAAGGAGGAGAGATCAGGACGACAGGTGTTTGATGGGAAAGAAGAAGCAAATTACACCAGAGTACCCGCCAATCGCCCCAACCTAGGAGAGACGGAGATAGAGAGAGAGAGAGAGAGAGAGAGAGAG